TTATCTTATCTTTATTTATTTGCAAAAAATAAGGTGGAACTCTTATTAAATTTTAATTATAAAAGCAAGGATGCTAAATATCTAAATAATAAATACATTTTCTTTAAAAAAAATAACATGATCTAGGAGTAGAATCAAAGGAAATATTTAGAAATTGTGAAACCATAAATACTGTGGAACAGTCCCCCAAATATACAGAGCCTGGGAAATGAAAAATTAGGAATACATGCTGGAATTTCACAACTAAGCTCCTGTTGACACCAGAGGGAATAAACCATATGCTGAGTGGCTCACAGGGAGCAAAAGACTCTACATTTGTATTCTGAAATGCATCTCTACAGCTCTTTTATGTAATTCAAAATATATTCACTCATTCTCTTATCCTCTGTATTGCAAAGAAAAATACAAAAATGTGAGATTCAAATCTGCAGACCCTTTATTTTGAAGAGTATTTGTTTCAATTTAGAATGTATAATCAAAGGATCCCCCATTCATATTTAATAAGTGAATAATACATTTCACCTTCATGCTGCCTGAATAGTTAGGCACTCATTTTGTTTGAATCTGAGAGGCTCACATGTTTAATTCAAATTATTTGATGCTGAGAGGATTTGGAAAATCTATGAGTTCTATCACATAGAGACAATTTCACGTATTAGGATTGATATACTATCATCATCAGGTAGTCATTAGTGCTTTTCTTTGAATCTTTAAGTCAATCTTGACTTTTGGTGACTGCCTTGATTAGTCCCTGAAATTTTTTGGGCAAGGTTTTTTGGAAGTGGCTTGCCCTTGCCTCCTTCCTGGGGTTGAGAGAGACTGTCCAACGTCACTCATCTGGATTCGTGCCACAAGTGGGACTAGAACTCCCACTCTCCTGGTTTCTAGCCTGGTACTTTAATGACTGCACCAAACCGGCTCTCCACTTATGCTTTGGAGAGGTATAAATTGAGGTCAAATTGTAAGCTGTTTTATTTTAGTGAGGCAAATCTTCTTTCTATCAACCTTTCCTGCAAATCTTCTTGCTATCAACCTTTCCTGCCCAATGTCTCTTTTTGCTCTTGTGAGTTTATACTTAAACATTTACCTGATAAAAAGCAGTAGTTGAACTTATAATACATTATCTTTATATCAACAGTTTTTCAAATTTTGGGTTCCTAAAAAAAGATTTCATTAATTCATAAACATGTTTGCTACAAACTTTAATCAAACACTTTACCCTTCAGATGTGCATGGACTTTTACCTTCATACTTTAATCATGCCTTTACAAGGCACCTTGTAAAGGAATTAAATGGAGGGTTCTTGACCTCAACTTCACAAACAAGGTGTAGGACAAATCAGAACATGTACAGTTTATTCAGAAAACAAAGTAGCTGACACATTGACAGGGTATAATTCTAAAATAAATCTGGTTTAATTTTCCCTACACCGTAAAGAATATTGGGAAGCCTTGGATTTGTCACCATTTATCAGCTAATCTATTTTACAGGATTGTTATAAAACTAAAATATAAAACATTTACATTTATATCTCTTTTGAGCCTTGTTATTTTGTAATCTGTATTTCATGGGAATGGGAAAGGGGAGGAAATTATGTTCCATGAATAGGTACAACACTCCTCGCCTTACATCCATTCATTCAGTAACCATTAAAAAAAATAGATGTGTGATTGGCCTCGAAGGTTTTGGCCATTGCAGTACCCTCCCTTGGCCTCCCTCAACTCACGTATGTCCTGTGCTAGGCCTCCCAAGTCTTCCCATATCCCCTCCCCACTCCTTATGTTGAGTTCCTTATTTATGACCAAAATCTTTGGCAACTAATGATGTGAAAATATATATATGGAAATTAGAGCAGTAATTCTATTAAATCAGCCACCATACCAGGTGCTACTATAGGACAGTAGGGCATCTTGTGTTTTTCTTAACTAGGATAGCAGCCTGGAAATAAATTAATGGGAGGATTAATTTGGTAGTTAATAGTATCCTTTATTTTTTCAGAGTTGGTAACTTGTTAAATTTCATGGGCTTTTTTGTTTAGCTGTTTTATTATTTCATTGAAACTCTTTCTGATGTTCCTTTAGCTATTTCTGTTCTTTATTTTATTCTGTTCTTTATTTCTGTTCTTCTTTTATTTCTCCAGTACAACTTATGTGGTATTTCTATTTTTTATTCTACATCCAAGCACTGATAAAGACCAAAATTATTCCTTTTCTCTCTCCTCATTTATACTCATATTTTTTTATTGCTGACACATTATTTTCATTATTATCCTTTATTTGCCTATTTAGAAATAAAGCCCAGAGGGTGGAAAGCTACAATTTTATTATACACAAGAGATAATATATACTGCTAGTAAAAAAAATTAGATGCCCAAAATGATTTCAGTTGTATCATTAATATAATACTGTATATGTTACCTCCAGACTTTTTTCATTCAGTTTTTATTGCTTAACAGTTCTCTTCAAATTACACTTTATTATTTGTAATATTCCAGTCCCATCAGTGAAAATACAGTTTGATTCCTATCATCTTTCTGTCTAAAGGCAAATGTATTTGACTTGTGCTTGTAACATCACAGTGGTAGATATACGGGACCAAGTTCTATCTTTAGGCCAAAAATGTGATAATTCCTGCAGTTATCGCTAAAGGATGGCTATGAGGAGCCAGTGCAAGCAGACACTTGGCTGAGTTCTCTAAACTGAGTTCTACTTCTCAGACAAGAACAAGTACCCTGGTCAGTAGTACAGATGCCAACCTGGTCAGTTCTTCTTTGTAGAATGGGAAAGGGTGTCTTCACGTCAGATTACCCTGGCAGCTTTTACCCACCAGGAGAATTTCCTACTGTTTCTCTAGATTTTTTCAGTGGATGTTAAATGGAAATGTGATTAAATGGATATACTGTATGCTTTACTATACATATCTACTTATTCTCAGCTTACATAATTTGTATATGACTTAAGGCCTGAAATAATTTGTAATAGTTATTAACTCTTCTTGTAATCTAAGTTTATATTTTATAGGTGTATGTGTATATTTATGTACACACACACACATCTATAGAGCAACCATTTACAAGTGGTGGACTACCAGCAGACTTCAATTGTTCAATTATCGAAAAGTGGCTACTCAATATCCTTCCACTGCAGTTTAAACCCTAAAATAGGCCATTCATATTTAAAAAATAAATAGAAGAAAGATCTAAATCTCTTTAAAGGAAAAGTTTAGAAGAGGCCTTCAACACCCACATGAGTACTATGATCACACCCATTTTATGGATCTCAGGCTCTATAAACGTATTTTCTTCATTCCTGATTTATGACATAAATCTTCAATTCCTGTAAAGTAGGCACCAATGTTTTCTTCCAACATGTATTATAAGTCTGCTTCAGTTTTAAAAAAATATTTTTTCCTTTTAACCTATGGTGATAAAATCCACTTCAGATTATTTGTGATTCAGCTATTGATCCTGATATACCTGTTGATATCTATAGCACAATTTCTAAGGTGCTTCATAATTCCTTTAGATTATATTTATACATTTACTAAGATAAAGGTTAAGAATATGTTCAGTAACAACCACCATTCAAAATAAATTTAAAATCCATTGCATCTCCCCCCCGGGGTGGAGCTAATTATATTTTCATGGTTAGCTTTATAAGAACTGTAATACTGCAGATGATGCTTGAACTTTACCATGGATTACAGGATTATACAGAAAGAGCATTCTACTAATTATTAAGCGAAATACAGGAAATATGGGCTTTTTAAAATAGAGAAGAAATAGTAAACTAAATATTATTACTTAGAAGTTGCAGATTTATTATAATGATTCAATCCTCCACAGAGAACCCCAGGGACTTGCTCATACAAAAAAACACTTTTCTGCCCCCTGATTCATTATCCAGAGCCCCGCTAGCACACTAAACTAGTAAAAGGATCTATCTGTGAAAGTTAAGAGTTTTTGCCCATTTCTCAACTGCACACATATAGCTGAGTTTAAGACTGCTGGCACATGATTACTGGATTTGGAGCTCAGGATTGTTGGTAGCTTCCACACAGCCTTTTTTTTTTTTTTACTAGTCCTCTTAACTTTGATCCTGCTTGCCAACTGTGGGGGAAGCTCAATTATACCCATTCCTTCCGCTAACAAATTAGGAGGAAGGGAGGATCCTTTAGTTTTTGACAATAGTAGAACCTAAAAGTAGGAAAAAAGTTGAAGGTGAACATATCCTACTCGTTGCAGTTTTGTAAGCAGCCCTTTTTAAGGGTCAATATTTATAGATTGGAGACAGCAGGTTTGATCTTTGATATTATATCAAGACTGTGCAAATAAGATATGATGTGAATTATTGCGATAGGTAATATACTGCAGGTTACATAAGCATTAATTCCTGCTTTGGGAAAAAATAGATCCTATTCACCTCTGCCTATGTAAATTAAACTGTGCTATTTTTAATAATTAGTCCAAGATGAGACATAAGTATGTATTAACTACCAGTGGCATAATAAAACAACTGATATTTATAGGTAGCAAAGAGAATGCGCTTGCGGCCATTTAAAAGCAAACAGCATCACACTGAGGGCTAGTGGAAAATATAATATACAATCTCTCTTCCTTTATTCATTTGAGAACTACCATTGGAGGCAACTTTTAACACAGATAGCTGAATCACTCTATCTGCATCTCTCCATTAGATATGCTGTCAGTATTTGCCAGTCACTGGTCATTGACTAAAAGTTTAATATATATTCAACGGGGAATCAGGAAGAGCAAATGAAGCTTCATAGGGAATCTAACCTACCAGTTTTAACAATCACTTTCCATTTCAGAATGGAGAGTCTTTTTTTTTTAACTACAAATTTAGTTTTTTTTAACTATAATTTTACTACAATTTTACTACAAATATTGGCACTGAAATAGGCAGAGAGCATCTAAACAAAAATCTCACATAAATCAAGAAGGAGAAGCAAAGAATGTATAGAATGAAAATTTCATTGACCTGATTTGTTAGAGATGTTGGCCGGGACCGGCGTAGCAGAGCCGTTCAAGTTAGTCATTGCGCTGTTCTTGGAAGCACTTGCTTTTGGTCTAGTTTTCGTTGCTTCTAGTGCTTTGACTTTCTTGGCATGTTTACTTCCTTTGTAGTGGGCCTCAGCCTGGCTCTACAAAGGAGAACAAATCAGGCTCAACATTCATACTTGGTATCACTCACAGATGAAAAGGTTGAAAAAGAAAAGTTATACAGCTTCCAAAAACAGGCACTATATTCTTTTGCCTAAGAAAAGTTAGTAGTGCTTCATTATTAATATTGTTGCAGGATTTCATAAGACACTTTTCTGACTTTAACCGAGATTTTATTGAAGAGCATATATTTTCATGGATTACAGCAAAAGGATCAACCTCCTTATTCGTTTTTGACTTATATTCTACTACAGTTTTAATCCATTGCAGGAAATTAAATGAATCAGATTTGGAAATTAGATATTTATCTGACTATTAAGGGCCCAATTTTACCCACAATTAGAATACAATTCTATTGAAACCAGTATGAGTTTGCATAAGGTTATAGCATTTGTATCAGCCTTTATGAAAGCATACTTGTTTGTTTATGATGGTCTGTGCCTATTATTAGTCCTGTACAGGACTGCACAACTTGGTGAATATATTATACCACGCATTTTTGTGGGCTATGTATATGGCAACTCCATTTTCCTGCTCTGCAGCCATCCAGGTTTTATAATTCCAGGCTTATAGTGAAAAAGGGAGCCTCATTGAGCCTCTGGGACTTCAGCCTAAATGGTCAACAAACTCTAGTCAGCTTGGTAGCACATAATGAAATCTATATAGTTACAGCATAAGCAAGCATATTCAGTTTTACGGAGACAGAGCATTTATTACGAAGGAGCAATTCCTAAAAGTTCTAATGGAAGATGTTCATACTCTCATTTGAGACAACTGAAGAAATGTTTTTCACTTGTCCCACAGAAATAGATCTTTCCCTAAAATAATTATGAGGGCTGGGATCAGAAAGAAGAATCAATGTAAAATTACAAAATGAATAAGGATAATAAAGCTATACACATGGAGACTTTCTGAGTTATACTTTTTCTGTGTAGGTATATATGGAGTTACCCTGCAGTAAGATGGCAGCCAAAATATTCGATAAATAAATGGAATTGTAGTATAAATTAAATGTATGAGTATTTGTCAATTTTTTTAAACCAATCCCCTCTCTAAAGGTACATCATCTTTGAATATATATGCAGAATGATTATTAATGAGGATGTCCAAGGCCGTCTTAACAACTAAAATAGCACCACAATATTGGGGAAACCATTTTTCTGTATTTAATAATAAAAGTCCTAGAAGACTGTGGAAGAGAATGTATCCTAGAAGACTGTGGAAGAGAATGTATCCGTTACTATAACAGATATATTTCTGAGATATTTTTTAATGTGAGCAAAGAATTAATGTACATTTTTTTTTAAAAAAAAAATAAAAATTAAATAGCATTGTACAGTATACCCATATGTTTAAAATAACAGAACACATATGTCTTTATTGAACTGTATATATCAACTATATATTAATAGCTAATATCAGAAGGAAATGTAATTTTGCACATAGGGCAGGATACCTGTCTTTAAACAAAATAAAAATCCCGTTCATTTCAATAATTTTTCCTCTGTATGGAAATGGAAAGAAAAAAAATATCATATTTATCATTAAAGTAGGACTAGACTTCGGTGGCACACATAAAGAAATACAATGCACAAGGTATTAGTTGTATCGTGCAATCTGCTGCTAAGAATAATGCCATGGCTGACATGCATTAGGAATACCACCTTTTGACTGCTTGTGTTAAATTGAAAGCAAGCCATTAAGCCAAGGATACAAGCTTTTCTAGGCGCCAAGGATACAAGCTTTTCTAGGCTCCAAACCCTTCAGGGTGCTGTTAACACTATGTTGCTATAGAAAGGATGACTGAATTAGTCTGAGTGCAAGGAGGTGCCGCAGAACAGTCACTCTGGGACATAATGTAATAAGGCAACCTGGCCACCTGGGTGTAAGTAAGTCAAACAAATGGAATGAAAAGGAAGATGCACATACTGTATAGATCTGTGCTTAGTAACAATCCTTGCCACATGTAAATAACTTATCCACAGAATCAGTGCAAGTAAAACATCCATTAAGATTCAGCAGTTAGATTAAGAAGCAAATAACACCAAACACATTTCCTGTTCTTAAAAGAAGAAAACACTGTATTTCTATAGGACCAATCGTGTTTACTATGTAAAACTGCACAGAAAATAAAGTTAAAATTATATGTATACACAAACACATAATAATCGATCACTAAAATATGGACCACAATAAAGATTGTTAAAACTATTACAAGGTTTTCAGTTTTATTGGTATCATACAAAGGAGATGGGAAACTGCTTAATCAACTGGTGTTTAAGAACGAGTAATTCTTAACTTGTTTATCCAAAAGAAAATTCCTCTGAGTTCAGTAAGGCTGACTTTCTAGCAAGCAAATATTATAATTCTTTAATAAGAATTATATTAAATATAATTATATTGTATTGTATTATATTATATTAAATATTAAGATTCTTTAATAAAGATTGTTTTGCCAAAACCATCTTTGAAGTATATAGTACTTAAAGTGCCACTAGATTATCCATATGTTATATAGCTTTTACTCAATGGTGTGTAATAATATCTGCGGGATTGTTTATATAATAGAAAAAGACGCTTTATGCCTCCATGTTTTCAAAAAAGTATTTTTTTCACTAGTTTTTGGAAGTACATTAACAGCAATTGTACTAACCTATTACATACAGTACTTATGTATTATATAATGCACTTGTAATTATAATTATTATAAAGTTATATACAACATTTTTCTGTTGTTCCAAAAGCAGTTGACATATAGGAGCAATAGTAAACTTGCCTATCTTTGCAATAGCAAGCTAACTATTTGTTGACCAAGAATAGCTATGAAATCCTGAATTGCATAATAAAAGTTACACTTAAGATGTTTCCAGTCGCTACTTTTATTATGCAATCATCCTGCATTGTTCATTAAATTACATAAGATATACACTCAGACAACTCTGTCTTCCGTTGGAATCCATTCTGCATTTCTCTAACATGTTTTTTTCATTGTTTTATTTCTATAAGGAGAAAACAGAATCGCCGCACATCCTTTGACTGGTAGCTATAGGAACCATTTGTCTGGAAGCTCTTCTAACTTGTCCCTCAGGCCCAGCTATTTTTTTCTGTTCCTGCCATCACATTTCTGGGCACTGTTATTGCTTTTAGCTTTCTAAAGTAAAAAAGATGATGTGCTCTGTGAATAGCATATGTAAACTGACTGTGTCAATAGATATATCAGCAAAGAAAGAGAGGAGGTGGGAGTAGACTGCTCTAAAATTATTTTCTCTCAAGAATTTTATAAAAATGAAAGCAGAAAGCAAAAAGTCCCCAAGTGCCTCTTTTAACAAAATATTTTTCTATTACTTCCTTTTCAAATGTCAAGGACATCTCATATAAAATAAATTGGAGTTCTCCTGGTTCATTCATTATCTATAAGGAGAGAACAGAGCAATATAGCATTATTAAAGGTGGCTTCAGAGCCACGTGGGAAGCAATCTGAACTCTCCACTAATCAGTCAATAGTGGCCTTGGTCACTTTCTATTAAACCAGATCTGCTTGCACAAAACCTTGCCCTTGAAGCTGAGACCTCACCTTATAACGTAGGGTCAACTGCAAGTGTCAACTGATTACTGTATGAATTTGAAGCCATGTCTGGTTGTGTCCTAGATTCTATTCTTCTGTTCATTACCCAGTAATTTCTTGTCTGTGGAATTCCCAAACCGAGAGATCTAGCACTACTAATCAAAATGTTGAATGAATTATTCTATGTTTTACTTCTGGAAAAAAAATGATTGAAGAAGTGGTAGGTTAAGACAGGAAGGCTATAAAGGTATCTTCTGACCCCCTTGTAAATGTCTATGAATAAAGCAATGTAATTGTAGAACAAATTCTCCATTTGGAATATTTTTTATCCAGACTTTTTTTGCATCTACATTTGCTTTGAGGAATTCTTGATTTCCACAATCCTCTCTCCAGAGAAGATGCAACTTCAGGAAAATTAAGCTTTGAGGTACTCTGAACACAGCTACTCATTATGGATGGGTAGCAGTGGTGGGATTCAGCCAGTTCAGCAGAACCAGTTCGGCAGAACCGGTAGCTAATTTTTTGTTGCCCAGGCCCAGAATGGACTTCTGGAAGCAGCATCCACACAGAGAACCGGTTGTCACATATTTGAATCCCACCACTGATGGGTAGTGTAATCCATGTCTCTTTCACTGTTTTCACTGTAACTTCATTCAGAGAATAGCCTACTCTACTGAAAAGATCCAAGGACAGAATAAAAAAACTACAACATGATAAGCAGAGGTGAACCTAAGACAAAGGGTTACTCCCTATAGAGATCATGTAAAAAGCCTTTCTGCTAATAATTGTGATGGGTGCAATCTTAATATTAAGCTACTGCTGACTTTGCTTCACTTCACTCAATACTCATTTATTGTACATGAAATCTATTCGAAGGACTCAAGCCCAAACAGATTTAAAGCTAATTATAACCTCATTTACATAAAAACATAATACAATCCTATCTATGACTACAAACAATTCTATTAATTTTATTTGGGTTCTTTCCAAGAAAGGTATGTGTATAAATTGTTCTAGACATCCAACTGATAAACACTTCAGTGCTATCTTTTTTAAAAAGATAAGAAAATCTACATTACTATCTTAAAAGTGGAAACCATCATCTATCCCAGAGGTCCCCAACCTTTTGGGCACCAGGGACCGGTTCCATGGAAAAAGGTTTTTCCATGGACCGGAGAGTGCATGGTTTTGTGTGCTGCCTGCATGAAATGGATGGGGCTTTGCTTGTTTATGCGGACCGGTTGCTGGCATGCCATGGCCTGGTACCAGTCCATGGACCGGGGGTTGGGGACCCCTGATCTATCATATTTTCAAAGTATTCACAGATATTTTTTAAAAAATGGAATATAGAGATCAATCAAAATCAGACCATCATGTGGATTCATTATTGTTGAAAATTGCACATTACTATCTACA